AGCCAGCATGGCTGGCTGGGGAATTCTGGGAGTTGAAGTCCACCCATCTTAAAGTCGCCAAGGTTGAGAAACACTGCTTTGCGGTTTTAACTACAGGCATTTAGCTTTACTTCTCTCCGGCCCTCAAAATCAGGGTCTTTATTGATAGGGTGAATTTGTCCCCAATTAAATGACCGGGTTTCTGGTTTCAGCAGCAGCCATGACAATTAAAAGGGGGGGAAGCCCCTATCAATAAATGGGACTTCTGTCCGCTGTGAGTTAACGGGAACAGAGGCAAAATCCCATCTCACCCACAGGCATGACAGGATAGCGCATCTGGGGTAGTGGGTGATAAGAATTGAGAGGGTAACATAAGGTCATCCAGTCTGACCCCATGTCTGATGGTCTCCCCTTCATTGGCTCCTTCAGAACCAGGGCAGGTCTGCTCACAAGATGCTTCTGCTTTTGATACATACCCGGTCAAGAGAGGTCACTTTCCACAACCATGTTCCACTTCCAAATGGGGAAACTTCACCCAGGTGCCGTGTGGCCCCACCCACTTCAGACCAAAGCCCCCGCGCCCCCCACCATGATCAATCCTGGGTGCAGGTTCTGACCATTAAAGTATTAACCCCGGTGGCCTACGACTGTTCCCCAAAATAAAACAATGAATAATATTCACCGGGTTTTGATTCACCAAACCAGCGAACCTGTTTGCCGATGGGCAAGAAGGAAGGCTCGTCTCCCAACATCTCGAGAGGCAGCTCTTGATTAAACAAGGAATTAAAAAAAAAAGCAGACGAGAGGACAGGAAGATTTGCTTTACTATAACAGTTCCAAACGTCCTTTTTCAAAAAAGCTCTTAGCAAAATTGTAAAGGCAACAGAAGGTGAAATTACACACCAAACAGCCCTCGGTTAGTGGTCACAGCTCAAGAACAAAAAATACACAGTGCAAATATGTTACCCGCACTCCATTTCAGAGACAAAACGGCCCGACGATGTTGCCGCGGATTCAGTGATTTCTTAACTACCTCTGCCAGAAAGTATAGATAGCATATATAGATGAATTTACATGTTCACACACACACAGAGGAATAATTTGGCGCACTGCTGAGCAAAATCGAGAGACCCACTTGATCATAAATTCAGTTTTCAGACGCCCTCCTGGACACCTGAAGGTCTACTTTTCGAGGCAATTTCTCACCGCGATGAGCCAAAATCCGGAGCACCTCGAGAGATGCTCCACTCATCAGCTCCAATATCTTCTTCCAACTCAAGTTTCATGCATATCAATCCAGGAAGCCACCCTGAGCATTGATATCCACTTTGTTTCTTTCAAGTAAAACTTCTAGGTCAGTGTTTCTCAACCGTGGGCACTTGAAGACGTGTAGACTTCAACTCCCAGAATTCCCCAGCCAGCAATGCTGGCTGGGGAATTCTGGGAGTT